TGCTGGTGCGTCACTCCGGCCCTTGCCCGCCACCCCCCACCTCTTCCATCTGCAGAGAAAGAGAGGGATGGATGAAGCAGAAGAATGCTTTGGTTAGGAAGCGACTCAATAAAATATCAAACTAAATATAAAACAACTGCATCTGTTTTTCACACAGATCTCAAAGGACTCCCACTCTCCCACTCTCAACTTAAGCCTTTATCATCATCATCTTTGATGCTTTCACTACAGAAATTTCAAGCAGGAGACATTGAGAGTGTGTGTTGACTCAGCTGAATGTCTCACAGGGACACCAAACGAAATGGAGCCATCCACTCACATATGCATGCAATATTCATGATGTGAGCTTTTAAGCACAGTCAAGCCTCAAATACACTCACAGTATCTTCATTAGCAGTCACTTTAAATATTTTTGTCATGCGCTATTCCGTTATTTTCACTTTTATATAATCAGTGTTAGGGACAATTATTCCTCCGATTTTTATTTTGTACTTTGGTCACTAAATTGGAATTTTCTGTATCAAAATGTACATCTTAAAGTATTTATTTTTCTACTTCTGTGTATTCCTCATTGTTTTTCTTCTTTATGTGCACCCACACTGGGTTTTTCTTTTTGCTTTTGTTGATAACTTTCCCTTAGTACTTACAGTATAGGTTAGCTAGGTATTTGTTACCTTAATGTTAACCAGATTAAAATATTTAAAGTATGTTCTCACTCACATAAATTTATCTCTTTTGTTTTGTAATATGCTTAAATCACCTCTCAATTAACTAGCAATAAAAATCTACGCCTGATGGAGGGCTATGAGGTTTACAGTGTGACGAGTGAATGTTTTATGGTCTTTTGTTGTCCTTTTGTTTTTACACAAAACACACACTAGGCTGAAGTTAGTTTAAAAGATATTTTTCTTAGCTTTGGTTACATGGTTGGTTGTTGCTGGCCCTCATTCCAGTCATACCTGCACTCTCCGGTATTGTCAGAGGTGGGGATGGAACATCAGAGTTAAAACTTGAACTCAAAGCTGCTTTGTCTTCATTCTGTCTCCCACTATAAGGGGTACACGGCGTGGGCTGAGGAGCAGGAGGAGTTGAGGGTGGAGTTGGAGGGGGTGGTGGCGCTGGGATTGAAGTAAAGGAGGACTCAGCAAGAGCCAGGCCACCCCAAGGCGTCACAGTGTTATCTGAGAGGAGGATGGCAGAAGGCCCTGGATGAGGGTGAGAGGAGGAGGAGGAGGAGGAGGAAGAGGAGGATATCTGCAACTGGCTTTTTTTTCTCTGACTGACTTGATGGGGATGACAGAGAAGGGGCCTGGCTGTGGTTTAAAAACAAAAAAAGCAAAGGGACATAAGCAAGCCTTTTCCTGATGAAGGTCTTTAACAAAACACACTGAATTCCATTTGTATGTTTTACATTTCTGCACTATTTTACAGCTTCTGTGGTGAGGTGAGTGAGTGAGTGGATCACCTGCTGTTTTGCTCTGAGATGAACCAATCACAGGCAGACGTTGTCGTGGCATCGCCAATCTGGAGGCCTGAGTGTAGTATTGCCTTTTCAAAACAGTGTCACTGTGTACACACTGCGCTGCAGGAACAGTCTAAACACACTGCAATACAAATGTACATTGTCTTTAAATTACAATTTCTACTTTAGCTGATGTCTTCTTTGTTTTTTTATTTGCTGATACACATTCAAAGGGATGTTTTATGCAGGATGTAGTTATTAAAAACCTTATGCCAAATTCAGTCTATACTGCATGCTATTGCGTTGTGATTAAAGTATCAGTAGAGCAAACATCTTCAAATATGCAAGCTCATGATGCACTTTGAGTTGTGCTCAGTTTATTTTCAGCCCAGTGTTAAATGCAATTTGTAATATTTCTGAGTGTGAGTGACAGAAATTGAGAAAAGGCACGTCCTTACACCACATGCACTAATCAAGAGAGAAAGATTAGAATCATCCTTTAAAATGAAATAAGTCTTCCTAACAACAGGTTTATGAATGGCACATCAGGAGATGTTGTGCTGGTGTGTGAGTACCTCATTGATGGGTGTAAAATGTCACTCCTTCTGCACGCTGACAGCAGCACTCTTCTTCTCTCACTGATACAAGTACACACACACACACTCGCATCGACACACTCTTACCCACAGGGGTTGATAAGATGCCTACCGGCAATTCATCACTGTAGTAGCAAGCTAGCATCAGTCACTTCCTTTCTCTCCACATCTGAAGATAATTAATTCACATCAAATCCTGTTAAAGAACCTGGAACAAAGGAAATAAGGTGACAGACTTCATCTCCTCTCTCCAGGTCCCTTCTGTTATCTCTTTCCTCCTCTCTTGTCTGTCTTACTCCCCACTTCTGTTCATTTTCCTTCCTCTTTATTTCTCTCTGTTGCGAGTGGCAGGTGGTGAGATGACGGATGGACTAAAGGAAACATGAGACAAGGCTAAATTATTAACATATTCATGGATACCTGCACTGGGCCCCTTCATGGGCTGTGACCCTCACTATGCCCTCCCCACACACACACAAACTGACAAAAGCATATGCACACACGTACAGGTGCACTCTTTATCTGACAGCTACATTTAAATTCCAGACAGACAACTCTGAATCAACACACACTCATGCACACATTCACTATAATCCACAGTATATGGGATCTAACATGGCACAGGTGACCCAGTCGTCTCACACTTCCTCTGACACGGTCGCACGCCAAATAGAAACACACACACCAAAGTCATTTCATTTCACAACACCTTCTGCTTCTACACTGCTAAATTAGCATTTCACAACACATGCATCCAGTATGAGCCAACCAAATACAACACGTTCACACTCTTGACTTACTGGTGTAAAAGAAAACTAATAATGTACCTTAATAATCCCACAATAAATACTATTTCATTACCCTTTGGCTGAATGCACAGAACTGTGTATGCACAGTCACACACATATGAAAACATTTTTCTATATTAACATAAACTGTGACTAGAAAACATTTGCAATAGAAATAAACTGACACACCCACAATTATACATGCGAGGATCCTCACTGATGCTAAACTTGTTCATGACAACTACACACCTTCCCCCAACCCTTAAATCTTCATTAATCTAAACCCAAGTCTAAAGACAGCCAAGAAGTGAAGACGGGACAAAACATCAGCATTTAAACTTGGTCCTCACATAACTAGAATTAACACATTTATACATGACTCTCTCTAAAGCATATGGCTTATGACCCTTTTTTAATGGGAAAACCTATCAAATATCTAATAAAAAAAGCAAGAATCAGAGAACAATCCTCACTAAAGCATCATTTCATGGCAGAAGTTTGCTTTGTCTGTCTGCTTTTGATTTTTTTTTAAATATTCACTGTCTCCTAAATTGGGGTTTCTGTCTCCCAGGACTAGTCGGGTCTCTGCAGTGACTGCGACATTGCTCTTACTTAATACTATTATATGTATGTATTGCATTTTCTTATTTATACCATCACGTTTAGTCTATCGTTATGTCTGGATGATGCTTTTTGTGGGTAAAACTGCACCTCATAGCAGGTGGCATCCTGAACTATAATTTAAACCATAAATCTCCCAAATTCTTCATGGCTTTTGGTTTATGGAGTCACTGTGGGCAGGCTGTTTTTGATTTGGTCTTAGTAAAAGTGGAGTCCCAAGGCCCTCTTCAAGTAAATGGGTTGATTTCCTGGCTGGCTGAGATGTAACACACTGCATTAAAAATAACTCCAGTCATTTCAGCCATCTTTGTGCAGCGCAGTGTTATTCCCTGAAGGAGGTTGCAGATGGCTCAAACACAGACATGATTTAAATGTTCTCTTGAAAAGGCCATGATTTTATTTCATTTTTCCTTGATGAACACCAAATGTTTTTGTGCATTTTTACCAGCAGAAATGTTGCCCGACTCCAGAAACACTGCCTGTATCTTTCAGGTTTTTCTGGACTGTTTCAGGCTGGCGGATGTTAATGATAGGCCAAAGGAAAAGCCAAGACAAACTAGTTTATAATAAATCTGCAACTCCACAAGAGAAATTAAATCCATTAGATACAGTATCTGTTCAGACAGGTTTGCGGGATGATGGAATTATTGTGTGTCTGAATTTCTATTTTTGTTTGTGCTCTTTATGAAATCTTGAGTTACATAAGCAATAAAGGGCTCATATACTGTAGCTGCAATGTACTCCTCAAATAACAACAATGGAGAATAAATACTTTATTTAAAAATGTACTTTAAAAATGACCAAAGTAAAATTCACTTTGTATCAAATCAGGTCATTTACAGATAATTCATAATTCAAGTATTTAAGAAAGTGATTTCTTTTATGGTGACTCTTCTTGTCATGTCATTTTATATTTCCTCTGACCACAAATTGATTGTGACCCGCAGCAGTTGGAAGCCCTGGCCACAGACCAGCACCCACCCCGTCTTCTCTCTCTGTCTCCTGCTCTTACCAGCCTTCAAACCTGTCTCAGTGTCCACCTCATTCTCTGTTCTACCCACATTGTCAGTGTCTCTTTCATTTCTACATTCACCAGCTATCTCACCACTTTTCTCATCACTGGTCTTAGAAAGTGGGTCACCTGTTTTGCTCACTGCTTCAACAGGTTCTCTACTCATGGCCTCATCAGCTGTTTCTTTCTCCTTATTGAACCTCCTGCCTGTTTCGACCTCTGCTGACTTACCCTCTGTTTCTAATTCTGTCCGACTCTCTTTTCCTCTGCTAACTACAAGCTCCTGCTTAGACTCAAAGCTCATCTTGCCCTTTTTACCTCCTTTCTCCTCCTCTGTCATCCCACAACGCAAGTCCCCCTCCCACACCGCAAGTCCTGCAGCATCTGCAACGTGGGAGCACAGTGTCCCTCTGTGGTTGATACCTGTACTGCAGACCCTCCAAAGACAAACCCTCTGATCTGAAGAAGTGGAGACCACAAGGTCTGGGCTCAGGAGGTTCAGGGTGGTCAGAGGGGCAGCGTGAGCCAGCGGGATGTGGAACTGAGACTGGAGATAGAGCTGAAGCTGGCCTGGGGGTTGCAAATTGGTTTGTAGAGAAATCGGGTGCTCAGACATCTTCCCATCTTCTGGGAACTGCACCTTAATGATGGACACTGTCAGCTGCCCATCATCCCCTCCACTGGCAACAGTTACCAGGCAACTGCCCTCTTGTTGTCCCAGTTTCCCTGCCCAAACAGCCAATGAGTTGACACCACTCTGGTGGGCGGGGATGCTGATGCAGGGTATTGGTGGAGCTGGAGCATCACTTGAGATTGAGGAAGAAGTGTCAGTCAAATGCCACACTGCGATTTTCCCATCTGTTGCAGCACTGAACAACAGCTTATATCTGAGAAAGAGGCAGAGAGTAGAGATAAAAACATTACCGTACATGAGAGATTACTTTCTTCACATTTTCCCAAGGCTGGCAGAGTTAACATGCTGGAAACTGAAAGTTACCCTAGTTTAAATATCCTGAGCTTTTAGCACTGCATTCTGATATTTTGCCTGCCACTCACTCTTTAATAGCATGCTTTAAAATAATAAAACCCCTCAGTGGTCTGGTTCTGATAGTCTTGTAAAGCAAGACAACCAATAGGATGCAATGAAGGTGGAAAAAAATATTCACCCACTTCAGGCTGAACAACCATAGAATCACCTGTTGCCTTTTCCATCCTCCAGGCTGCAGGTGGCGACACTGAGCACACAGCGCTGATGGTAAAACGTCTCCCACAGCAAGTCAATTTGATGTTGAACTTCACTGACTGAGAACAATCTAGAAAAATGACATTAGGAAGAGAGACAAACGAGGAAAGAGTAACGACAACCTTATATGACAAACAGCATACTACAAAATAAAATGAAGTAACACAACAAGGGCATTCTAACCTGATAAAAGATCATCTCAAGAGAGAGAACTAGCAACCTATCATTCCAGTTTTGATGAAATGCATGTATTAGATTTGTACAAGTTAAATGGACTTAATTAGGCTAACATGCTTGCAACACACTTCTCTCTTTTACATTCAGTTACAATTAAGAAAATACTCATTTGACAGCCTTAAAAAAGCTGGAAGATATTCTGTTGTTTTATTTTTTATTCTGTTTCTGTTCTTTTATTCTGTTTTGTCTGTTGCTGAAACCAGACATGTGGAAAACCTTTCCTTTTGCTGTCATGGACACCAACCTGACAGCCCCATCACTGCAGGCTAGAGCGAGAAGGACACGGTCCGTCAACTTATCCACCAGTGCTACAGACATGTACCTGAAAATACACAAGAATGATTGATGAAACAGAGGTAGATTCAAATGAAAAGAGTAAAGGGGATAAATTCTGCCTCACGTGTAAAAATCTCTTGTGTACTTTTTCGAATGAAGATGAACAAAAGTAAGAGGAAAGAAGAAAACAGCACTTCAAAGCAGTTAAAAGGTTAGGGAATCATAAAATAAAAGTCAACTTCTCTTCCAGGTGATTGGATGACACTGGTTCTTTATGTACATCAATTTGAGCCCATTAACTTGCCTTGTTTCTGGGTCCATTTTAACCATCTTGTGTCGGTTCCGCCTCCTCTCCCACTGTTCGTCCAGTCGGTGACTGGCCACCTGGATCACCTGGCAGGAGGGAACCAGTCTGTGCCCGTCCCAGCTGATCAACAGCCGGTAACATTGCATTTGAGCCCGGCCCCCAGCTGACACAAGCAGTGCAGACAGAGACTGTGGTTGGTTATCATCCTCTTCCTCTGGACATTTCACTGCTATCACAGTCCGCACACTTGATATGTGGTCAGTAATAACTGAGAGAACTTTGATCCTGCCAGAGATGGGCTGTATCGCCAGGACAGTTAAAGTCGTGTCCTCTCCTCCCGTCACCACGATCTCCCAAAGCCCTTCTTCTCTCTCCACCTCTCTTTTCCCACTTTCAGTCATATTTCCAGTTGTTTGAATATCATTCCTGGTCCCCCCTATCCTCCCCAGCCTGCATACACACCCAATCCCCCTCCCATGGAGGCCCTCTCTCAGGCCCCATCCTACAGGCCTTCCTGCCTTATCAGCCCAGCTGGGTTCCTCTCCGGGGGGTTGCGAAGCGAGAACAGCCCCCTGCTTGATGAAGACCAGAGCTCCATACCCGGGCCAAACCCCTTTGTGGGATGGCCAGAGACTCCAAGAGCGATGCCCCCCACCACAAAGTATCGCTAACAGCCTCTCCTGCCTCACAGGGTCCCAAACAACAAAGTGGACAGCATGGAAGCCAATGATGGCAAACCTGGCTTCTTTTCCCTGGCTCTCTGCGTTTCCTACTTCTCCTCTAAAGCTCTCCTCCTCTTGTTCCTTTTCTGTAACCTCCAGATTTTCTGTCAAATTTGGTTTCTCTGTCTTTTCATGGTTCTCACATCCCTTTCTGACCACCTTCTCCTCCTCTTCTGGAATTTCAGGTTCAAGAAACAAAACTCTCTCCAGCCACTCCATACCCTTGCAGGCCCGCTGAACTCGCAGAACCTCCAGCTGCAGTTGTCCTTTGTTCTCTACAGTCCTTCCAGGTGTATATTTTCTGTTTTCTTTACATGTTTCTGGTGGTGTCGGTTGCACTCTAAAGATTCTCACACAGCCGTCCCTCCCAGTGCTATAGAGCAGTCCCTGGTTCTCACACACTGAAGTTACACCCTGTTTTCCATGCACCCCAAACAGGCAGCTCAGTGGCTGCAGCTTTAGATTGTGCACTTGTTTACTCTCTCTCTGCTCCATGATACTGCTTTTTTCATCACCATCACTTCCACCTCCTTCATGTTTAGCTTGTTCTGTGCCTGTCACCAAACCTTCATCCACATCTACATCATCCCCCTGCTTCTCTAAGTGTTTGCTTCCTTCCTGAAACAAAAGCAGGGACCCTCTCCTGTCCCCACAAACCCACAGTGCCTCCTGTGACCTGGAGTGAAGGCGCACTGCAGCTGTCAGCCAGCGTTTGGCACAGGGTGGAAGAAGGAAAGAAGGAAGGGGATTTACACTGAGAGCTAAGATGGAGTTTTCATTTAATTTTATCTCTATACACCAGCGATAGACAAGTCCTTCAGCACCCGATGCTAGCAAAAACACACTTTCTTGTCCCTCTTGCCAAAGAAGAGTGTGAATTTTCCCTGATCCACCTGTGAGAAGAATCCCAGATTGAGGATGAGAAATGGGAAAGACTTGTATGGACCCACTGAGGTTTCCCACAGCACACAAATGAACTTTGGCTGTTGAGTCTTTTACATTAGTGGACACTGTATCCATCACACAATAAGACTGAAACTCAGGAGCCCCTGGCCATACTATATCCCACTGCTTATTGCTGTACTGGTAAACTATTCCTTGGTCAGTGCAAACCACAAATCTACTCTTGCTCCAGTTTACATTTTCATCCTGTTTTCCATCTATACAAACCACTTTGGGGATGCCTTGACCAGGAAATTTCAGGTCAGTTAGCTTCTCTGTCACTGCTTCCTCTATCATCTTCTTCCTCTCACCACTCTCTTTGACCCTCCACAACCTCACCCCTCCATCTGCACCCCCTGTAGCCACCCATCTCTCATCATCCGATGTTCCATCACTGACTGCCAGAGCGCGAACCCCTCCTGCTTGGTGTCCCTTCAACGTCCGAACCACCTTCTCACCTCCAGCCCAGTCCCAGACTAAACAAGCCCCATCTTCCCCAGCACTGAACACTCTCCCTGGCGAAAGATGCACTGAGAACACCCTAGCCTGGTGTCCATATAAGACCCTTAAACAAGTTGGGTTCGAGTCTCCATATTTCCCTCCGGGTCCCCCTAATACACCAACACCCCACACCCTGACACTGCGGTCATCTGAAGCTGAAGCCAGCCAGCCTTTCTCCCTGAGGTACGAGATGCTGAAGATGACCCCGCTGTGGCCCAGCAGACGTCTCTCCACAGGAGCTTTATATTCAGGATCACTCCCTTCTTCTCCTCCTTGAGGCCTCCAGAGAACCAGCTGGTTAAAAACAGTCCCTCCTACTAAAACAGTATCGGCCCAAGATTCATGTACCAGAAGGAGGGCAGAGTACAGCAGACACCCCTCTAGGCAGGAACACTGAGCTAACACAGTTCCTGTATCAAGATCCAAGAGAAGAGCACTATTATGGGCTGTAGCCACACAGAGAAGTGAGTGTTTGTCTCCAGAGAGCCAGCGGACATCCAGGGCCCAGTCCTGTAGCTGCAAGAGGGGACCTAGGATCTCCAGCCACGCATGGCCCCCATCCACATGGAGCCTCACCAGCCTCACAGCCTTGCCTCCAAACACTACTTGGTCATAGAAGCTGGGTTCTGTGGTGGAGCTCAGTTCTGGAGATGAGAATGGATTAGGAAAATTTATGAGTGACTAAATACAAAAACAAGAGGGCTGTCAGTGAGTACTGTACTAACACAGATCAGTCCTTCAACTAGCCATTACAACCAGATCTAATATCCCTTTAATATTCAAGATCAATATTCTGTCTTCAATTATTTTTCAATTAATGTTGAAGTTTCTGCAGATCATTGTTCCTTGGCTCAAAACGTATCTGTCCATCATCATGTAGCTAGTCCAATTTTTATTCATTCTGACAGAAGGGGAAAAAACAGCTTCACTGAACACAATAAAAGAAATTCATTTTAAAAACAGTGAAAGCAAACATCTGCTCATTCTAACCATGCTTATGCTTTCCACAGGAGCTATGCGCTGGGACAGCTGCCTGACGTCTGGGTCTTATTCCATGGATTCTGCTGTGCTGGAGGACACTCAGTGAGGCACAGGCTTTAGGTCGAGGCTTGAGAATGTACACCTCCAAGACTGGACCCTCACCTGCCATGAAGGGAGATGAGAAAGTAAGCTACAGGTGTGTTGTGCCAAACCCCAATCGGTGACTGGCCACCTGATTCACTTTCCCACTGAATTGAATGGGAAAGTTTGTCAGAACCTTTGACTGGTAGTATATATTGGTTGAAATTAATAAAGTAATAGCAGAGTGGTAGTGACCAACAGTATAGAACAGAGCTCATAATGTCACTAATCAGATCTGAAAGCCCATCATGTATATGTACATGTGAAAAAAAGTGTATCCATGTTGACCAGTGTGGCTAAGAAAACTGTGAAAAACTAAATCATTACATCGGAAGAATAATTCCTTGTATATTGGCTCACAGCTTCCTACCTGTCAGTAGAAATACATCCTGTAGGAATTCCAGAGCTGTGACTGGAGCTACCAGCGCTGCTGTCTCCATCTCTTAATGATTAAAAACATTTATGTAGGACACATTTTCGTGCCTGAAAGTGACAAAACACATGTCACAGATAGCGGACTCGGAAATCAAGACAAAAAGATACTGCGGGTGGCTGGCATTTTAAATATTAACATGGAGCCTATGTTGACTAATCACCTTGAAATGACCAAAACAAGCTAACAGCAACAGCGCTTCTGTTATTTGTTGAACATAACGTTAATTAAAGAAGAGATACTTTTCTGGCTCGATGCTACTTACATGCTTTACTTAGATAAAACCTCAAACACTGCCTAAACATGTTTCAAATCTGCACTAAAACATTTATTTTGATCCACGATGAGCAAACTAGTGCCCACGTGTTTCTGCTCCAGCTTCCGTACACATTTTAGCCAATCAGGCTACACTTCCAGCTTCCTCATCGCTGATTGGTTACAAGAAAGATAACCGTGTCTGTATTTGAGAAAACAAACACGTGACCGACAGTCATTCAGCGTGTTACCTCTAAGTGTGTTCTGAAAAAAAGTTACTTATCATCACTCATAGGCTTTGATTTTAGCATATTTGATCGCCAGCAAGTTGTTCTTTGTTTCCTTTCTTTAACTTTCACTGATTTATTGAGACAAACAGGTGTATGTGTGTGTTTTCTACAGCTGCCAACACAATTATGCCTTTTCTTCCAGTCCTTTGTTGTGCTTTGAGTTATTTTATTTAGAGTATTTAAAAAAGTCACAGACATCATATGAAGTAGCTCAGTGTTACCTACCAAAAAACATGACAAAACATACAGGTAATTTCAATGAACATGCAAAGTGGGCCCTTAAAACAATCTTATCACGCAATAGTGGAAATTCTGTTTTTAAATACATACTCACCTAGCACGGACCGAAAGAGACTAAACGAGCTGGTTCTGTCCTGGGCTGCCCTCTGGATTTCATCGAGGAGGTGGCGGACAGAAGGATGCTGGCAAAACTAACATCCATCATGCATAACCCCTCCCATCCCCTGCACCACACAGTGGAGGCTCTGAACAGTTCTTTTAGCAGAAGACTGCTACATCCCCAGTGCAAGAAGGAGCGTTACCGTAGGTCATTCCTCCCCACAGCAATCAGACTGTACAACACATCACTGCAGTGATAAGCTATTATGAGGGTCTATGTAATAGTCAACTGAGGTGCAATACTCAAATCCTGGGGATAAAATGTATTGTAAATATTCACATATGTAAAAATCTTGTTCTTGATTTCTCTCAAATACCTTATATTGTCTTGTTTTAGGTATTTTCGAGTAGTTTTTCAGAGATCCTCATGGCTGAAATACAGGTATTTCACCCATTGCGGGATTAATTATGGGAGTAATATTCTTGTCCTTGATTTCTTGATCTCTTGAATACTACTGTGAATATTATATTCTGTTTGGTTTTAGGTACTTTGGAATTTGTTTCTCAATTTGTCTGGTGTTTGTTCTTATGGCGTTTTGTTGCTGCCGGAACACAGGAATG